AACTGTCATTTTTAAAAGTGAGGTCTGCAGCAGTCTACAAAAGGTTTGGAAAAAAGAGAAATTGGTTTCTTAAATATTTCCCATATTTCACAGATGGAGCAACACAAAAGAGTTCAACTGAAGTGCCATACATGATCTTGGATGCAACCCCTATGGCTTCTCATTTGGCTAACTTTTAAGTGCACAAATATTATTTAAATAAAGTCAAGTCTCCAAAACATGAGAGGACTACTAAGTCCTGAGAGACATGTAATTAATTTGAATAAACCTAGCCAAATTCTAATCAGGTTTAGGTGACAAATTTCAGAGAAAAAGCGCTTTTTTTGTCCAAGAATATTTAACTAGCTTTTTTGTTGTTTGAACCATAGGCAAAGAATATCCTGAAGAAGACTAAAACTTCCCTAGTTTACTTGGAAAAAGAAACATCTAGTTCTTCCTGCCATGGACTATTTGGGAATGGGCACTCATGCTGGACAGCTCCGAATACTCCAGTTCAGAAGTTTTTATAATAAAAATGTAGGAGAATCAAATTTTTTTTACACTCATTGGGAAATTCAGGTTTCTGTTGACCTCATTTATCTTCCCATCACTTACACAATGGTACAATATTTCTTCTTGTGTTTTGATTTCTACAATTCAAAGCATTCAAATACTGACAATTCTTTTGAGAAATTCCCAGAGCATACACAGCTCTGGTAGTCTTAAAAATGCTTTTCAGCAATGTCTGTTTTTTTCAGTTAACTGTGGTTCCAATCATATATTAAAAACCACTTAAAGATCAACATATTGATACATTTTGATCACTTTCCTTGTTGTCCAGTCAGGCAGCTCCTTATCTCAATAGCTTCTCCACCTTCTGTACAGATTTTTCTTGACCATGCCCTAACTGCTTGTACCATTTAATAGCTAGAAAAATAGAAGTTTTCTGTTATGAATCCAAACAAGTTAACAAAATACTCTCTAGCCAATCAAGGAATGAGTTTATGCTACCAAGTAACTCTCACAGGCCTACCCACTGAGTGCTTTTTTTCCCTGCCAAACCTTTTTTTTCCTGTTCACTCACTCCCTCTGTTATTTAGTCCTTCTGGGAGCTAAACGAGAAGAATATCCAAAATTAAGGGGTAAATATTAAACTATTAAATTTTCAGTTCTAAAAATGAATTTAGGAAAACAGCACCTGGCAATTTCAGCTACCTACAATCAAAAAGATATTTTCTAGGACATGGAACTAATTATCAACTGGTATGAATTCTAGTTTGTGCTTTTGATAAAACAGGATATGCTAGCTCTATTTAAATGTGATTAGGCGTGTTGTTCTTCATCTCAATACCAAATTCTTTTTCCTCTAAGGATTCCTCTATTACGCAAACGAACAGCAAAGCAATTAAACACTTCAAAAAGGAAGACTGAAAATTTGTAATGAAAGAATTATCATCTTCACCTCCTGTAACATATAAAACAAATGACATGTTAGGAAATATTCTTCTGCATTACACAATGCCATTCTTCTGTTCAGATGAACACCGCCCATACCATTCACAGAAACATCTGAGCTGAAAACATTTAAGGTCACTTAAACAACTGGACCTTTCACCTACCCTCTGGTTTCTCAAAAGTTGCAAGCAGAAGAATTGAGGATGCTTCCTGAAAAACTGTCCATAAAATAGAGGCTTTTTTGTTGTTGTTGTTAAATAAGTTAATACATCTCAATGGTTAAAGCTCTTACATGAGATTCTTATAATCCTGCATGTACACAATTCACATCTACTGGACAACAAATGAATTATTAGATAGCACTACCATGGTATTGTCTGCATTTCACCTTCACATTTCTTTCCTTTATAAAGAAGCACATAATTTAATTATAAATCTGTCAAACCCAAACTAAAATTTCCGCTGGCTTCTATTCATTTGTGAGTACCTCTCCAAAAACAACTTCTGATGGTCCTTTCCATGTCTTTAAATAGCAATGATTAATTGACACCTTCTAAAAATGCTGCATTAGTAGATTTCATTACAAACTCCCCATGTCCACAAATAAAACTAATCCACTAAAGCATTCTGGTGGAGAAACCACTCAACACAAAATGCACAGAAGGTTAGTGTTTTCTATACCAGTTAAATTCAGACCTATTAAAATCAATGTAAGAAAACTAGACAAGTTAGGACTGCTTATTGAACTGGTTCCAAAAATTACCTTTTTTCAACAGGCTAGTAAATTTGTTCAAGAGAGGCATCTCTGTTACATCATGCTCTGGATCCAGATAATCTTATCACATATGCACAAACTTTGTAACTGCACTAAGTACTGCACAGCCAGTTGTCTAACCTATTACTAAAAGTATCTTCATTCCAAAAATTAAAACACTGCAAGAAGAAAATTTCAGCAAAATAACTGTGAAACAACACAACCATGTTGTGGCCTCCCTCCCAGGACAGCATACGTCAGTAAGAATCTTGCTACACAACACAAAGCCTTATGATGAAGTATTACAACGCTGAAACCCGTTCTTCCCACATTTATTGATTTATTGAGTGATGGCTTATTTTCAAAAATCAATCCATTATTCCTATGAGGCGACGAATGCTTTCATCCTTAAGCAGTTTCAAACTTTAGTCTCAACATCTGGAATTTCCATGAAGATCACATGCACCAGTTACTGAAAACAACACTTTGAAGTGTGCATTCAATGTACTGTCGGAGACAAAGACATCAGCTGGTAATTCTCATGTCTTCAGGGATCTCTCTTCAGATGAGATACCAGTTTTATGGGCTACAGAACCTTAGATAAAAGCTCACTCCTTTCAAGGAAAACAGGAGAGTTCTCTACGTTTCACCTTGCTCTAAAGCCATAAGAAGCAGAAAGCAGTGACATCTTTTTTCCTCAAAATGCCAATAATACATTAAAGTAAAATTAAACAGTTATTTTACTTTCTTTTTGTCCTAAGCCTCACTATCATAATCTGAAGTGTATTAGGAACAGACTGTAGGCTTCTTTCTCGGGAGGAAAAGGAGAAACTTCTTATAGGGAGAGAAAGAAGTAGACTTCTTTCTATGCACAGGCTAAAAAGAAATCATCTGGATGTGGCATGTACTTATGTTCAGATTCACCACCTCTACGACTACTTCAGCCAAAAGTTTTGCCATTGGCAGGATATCTGCACATCCTGCTAAGTGAGGAAAGGAAAACAGCTGGAGAATTGTGGCTGTTTTCCCACGATGCAAGACAAAGAAGCATAAAGAAGGCATTCCTCTGAAAGGAACTTCGTAGAACAACATGCATGTCACAGTATTATGTATATGTAGAGCTACTAACTATCCAGTGTCACTTACGAGTTTATCCCTTGTACACTGGGAATTTATTTTTCCCTTAACTTCTGCAGTTTTCAAGTTTATAGCTTTATAGGAACAGACTTTAAAACAAAAAAGCACCAAAGCTATTCAAAAGATTACTGGATTTCACTCTAAGTGCTTAAGCAGTAGTGGATGTATAGCACATGATATCATTCATTTTAACTGCCTCTTCACCTATTAACTATTATTGCTAAAATGTAAAAAGGGACCTATAAGCACCCCAATATTTTGGTACAATGAAGAAAAAAAAGTCTAGAGCTAAGCAAAATACAAACTAGACACCATGCATTGTCAGGCTATATCATCAAACAGTTACCAGCAGAGTCGCTATACTCACCTGAGCAATACTACTGGAACTTCTGAAGAGAGATCATTTATGTAAACGTGGATGGCAGAACTAAACTCTCTGGGATAAACAAGATTTTTTTCCCCCTCTACCTTTGTTCAGCTACCTTGTTTGTTTCCACTCCTTCCCCAATGATCATTGTCACATTTTCTATTCCCTCTATCAAATTTTGTAATTCCAATGACGCTGATACCGCATCTTAAAAAAAGATTTATCCTGCAGACTATGGTTTTATAATACAGCTGTAGCTATCAACCAAACCATATGGATCTCAGTGGGTATTTTCAGTGCTCACTCTGCTGTCCTGGTTTGGCCTAAACCAGAACTATTCTGTTTTAGTGCTTTTACTTTTCAGTGAAGTCTCTTCTAACTAACTGCACTTTCTGAAACAGCAGCATGTTCTTCCAGACAGTGACTGCTTCTAGCGGTGATAAGACCTGATGTTTATAGTTCGTATCAAGGAATGGGATGCAGAGAGGCCCTTGCTTATACTTGTTCTTATAGCAACCAAGGTCACTGCTAAATCTTGTACTCCATGTTGGGGTGCCGGGAGTGAAAAGGGTCGCAAGCACGTAAAAGGTCACACCTGCAGGGAGGAGCGAACTGGACAGGTGACCCAAACCTGACCAACAGAGTATTCCATCCCATATACGTCATATTCAGCATAAAGCTGAGAGATCACGAGGGTTTCTCTCTCTCTTCTTTGATGGCCAACATCTGAGGAGGACTCTCTCTGTTCTTCTGTCGTCAATCCCGATCCGTGCACTCCCGAGTCCAGTGCCTGAGTCCAGCTCCTGCATCCCGTCCCTGTCTGCTGCCGAGTCCAGCCTGGGACTGCCCCAGTGCCAGCCCTGCCGGCTGGTGGGGACGTATTGTCATCAGGGTGGGGGAGCTGGGTGCGGTATTGGTGTTGTACCTATTTCTATATATCTGTCCATATTGTATATACTTCATTATTTCCTTATTCTTATTATTATCTTTTCTTTCATTGATACTGTTTCATTAAAGCTGTTTTAGTTTTCTTTTCCAAACTGTAAAGTCTCTCTCCCTTGTTCTCTCTCCTTTTCCCTTTTGGGAGGGGAGAGGGGTTAATAGACATCGTCTGTCATTTGTCAGTGGCCGGCCCAGCCTCAAACCAAGACACTGTGCAACTACTGATTTTCCAAAAGGAAACAGAACGTCTGCTCAGTGTGTTTTATACACTGAAAAGAAAAAAAGGAAGTACTTTTAAACTACATATAGAATCTACATATAGAAATATTAGAAGATTTACAAATCATGTAACTGTTTGGTACAAACCAGGGATACAGAGGCATCTGTAGCTGGTTCCAACACTGCGACAAATGCCATGTGCACAAGGGTTCAGAGCACAAAAGTCAATCAGCTGAGCACACGTAGGTCCTGTAAACCCAGGACTACAACTGCAGGAGAAGGAAAGTCTATCCGCATAACAGGTTCCATTGTTCTGGCAGGGAGATGATGCACAAGGATCTATTTTGTCTTCACAAGAGGTTCCTAAAAACCCTAAAAGAAACAAATGGTTTTGATAAGTAAGCATTCTGCTATGCATACAATTTTAGTAACTAAAGCAAGTTAGAAGCCATTGATATCTATATTCCTATTTTTTTTTTTATTTCTATAAAAATTACAAAAATACAGACTTCCTATATATAAAAACTCTAATTTTACCCATTAACATGATATGATAAAAGATGTTTCAGGTATAATCATACTATCATATGATTAAGGCAGCGAATTGCAAAAACATTTGTTGAAACTGACAGTGCTTATCCACTTTGTGAAGTGCAGCTGGCTAGAAAAGCAGAAGAGGTTTTCTAAGGATCAGGAACAGACTAGCCTGGAAAAAAAAGAAAAGCCAAAACTGACCTTTTTTCATTACTGTTAATGTGTACTTTAAGAGTACAACCTCGAAAGCAGCACACGAGTTTACTTGACCTTCAATAATTGAAAATAATATCTTTTACAAGAACATCTTATTAGCAGGAGAGACAATGATTTTTTGAAGCAACACCATGTAAAAATTAGACATTAAAAAAGGATATTCTTGCAAGGGAGTTTTTTTAATCAGATGTAGAAAAGAATAATATTTTAACAAATTGCAGTATACTAACTATAGTCTGTATCTATACACAAATGTCATATACATAGCAACATGATGAGTGGTTATTGTATCGAAAAGCAAGTCAGAAAAGTATATTCAAATTCTAGCACCCTTCCAAGCAAAAGAGCAAACTGTCCTTTCCATTCAACCTTAATTTTTTTTATGGCTATTTGGCCCATTTGTACAGACCATCACTTTTCAGGCTGAAAGTTCCCTGGAATATCTCATGTTGTAGAGCAGTTCTTAACCTTTAGAGGTCCCTTCCAACCCAATACATTCTATGATTCTGTGATTACAATACACTAATCACTGGGAATGAGAAATTAGGAGCAAATCAGGCCAGCCTCCACTCAGGACCCAGCAAGCCATGTAAAACACTGCAGTTGTGCCAGTCTAAAAGACAAAGAATAGACCACATTGCTGCTGCTACCCAGCAGATTTTAGCAACATTTCAGACACCAAAGAAGTAAATGCATGAAAAACTATTCTGGGATTTGAAAAATATTTAATCAAAAAGACAGAATAACAGATTAAAAAAACCCAAACAAAACACAAAATGTGTCGGATGGTGAGAGAAAGGATCAAGATGGAGATGTCTCTGTTATACAGCAGCCTGTCAATGACTTGGAGCATGAAAACAATGACAGGTGACACTTTGGGTTAACACTCAATATTGAAATCTTATCCCTGATGGAATGAAGCAAATTTTTTGCCTTATTTCTACAGTTTTTATATCTATAAAGTCTTGCTGCTGGATTAAAAGCAGTTGATGTATTAGAACTGAACCCCTATATTGTATAAAGCTTACAATGAATACCGAAGTGAGACCAAATACCACATTCAATACATACTTTACAGCACCTCATTATCTCTTACTGACTTAGTAAATATTTTTGTTCTAAACAATGTCATTCCACATTTCGAGCAAGATACAATTCATCAGGAAATAGTTTGACAGATGTGTTACTTTCAGGGCATTTTGATTTTCTTTCTTTTCTAATTATTCATGATTCACACTCAGGTGAGTTAAACTGTAACTCTGTTTAACTACTTCCAGCACTGTAAGCATGGGTAGCAAGTCAGGAGTTATGCATTTGTTCTCAGAAGTGACAAGGAATAGATTCATTTACATTTTAAAACCTCACCAAAACCCCCCCCAAACATTTAATAAAATGTTTAAATTCTATATTTTGTTCTTGATTGATTAGATTTGTTGAAAACCTGGGCCAGAAAGATGTAGTGAACTGAGCATAGTCTGTCAACTTGATTGAGCTCCAAGACTTGAAGAGCGAGTGAGGGCTGAGAATATCAGCATAAAGACATCAAAGTTTCCAGCACACACCAAAAAAAGGGAGACTGGCAATTAATTTTAAATATCCTGAAGACTTTCTCAAGGAGATATACTCCATGTTTTATCGATCCAAAAATCTCAGTGAACTGCATCAGATAGTGGGAAATGGATATTAAACAAACGTAACCCACACAGAGTGTACTACAAGAGAATGAACAAAACTTAGATTATTGTAACTAAGAAAAAGATGGGAAGGCCACAACTGCCCTATGAGTTCCAGATAAAACTAGGATATTCTTGGGCACTGTTGGCAGCAGGATTTTAGAAGTATCCTCAAAATATTAGGTCCTGGACAAATGACAAAAAGCCACGTTTCCCTCGTGTGTTCGTAAGTCTTACTCCAGAGCTGTGGAATGAAAAACAATTTTTTTAAAAAAAGTAATAAAAAAATGAAACAACGTACAGATAGAACTTTTAACAGATTAGTCATAAATGACTCAGCAACAGACCAGGCAAGAAAAGCAGGTCTGACAGGGCAAAGGCAAAGAACAGGTAAGAGCCTTCTGCCCTCTCCATGTTGCTATCCTACGGCTCAGATTGCTTCATGGGCTTTATCAGGACCACCTGCACACCAACTTGAAAAGGGAAAGCTTAAAAACTGATACTATGGAATCCTATATTAGAGGTCCCTCCTGTGGATGGTAACTGCATAATCATCAGAAACCGAAAAGAATGGAAACCCTAAAATCAAGAATCTAATTCCAGCAACAGTTTGCTGACAAATTAAAAAAGCCTGTACTGTTATCATGAAATCCCAGACAGATTTAAAAGAATCTGCAAGCACTTTTAACTACCATCAGGAGGAGATCAGCCAATGAGTCCAGTGAAATTTCTACACATACCCTGAAACCGGATTAAAAAGGATCAAAGAGATCCGAGGTCACACAATGACACTAATGCTGCTTCACTACAACCTTCGCAATAATCATCCTTACGAAGAGAAGCTTACTGGCAGATGGCTAATGTTTCAAGTGACAAAGCACTTCAAGAACATATGCAGTTTAAAATACACTAAAACGTGTTGCCCTTGTGCTATCTTTGACTGAACTGTGAAATGTGTTCAGTTGATTCTGGAAGTTCAAATCTATGTATGAGTTAAATAACCAAATATACTCAAAGCAGCAGTAGTTACACTTCTGAATTGAAGATCTATCTGAATGTACATCTAAGTTCATAATCAATAAAACTGTTGAAAACAAATAAAGTAAACAATAAATTTAAAAATCAAATTCAGAGGTATATTGATTGAAAACAGAATTAAATGCTGGAGGAAAGAAAATAAAAATTAGGACTATTTATCTGTGGATAAATATCTCCTGAACTGTTCTTCAGCCAGCTAACACGAACCCAACCCTTCACCTAAGTCATTATTGGTATAACAGGGACATGACTGAAATGTAAAGGCTACTGGTGATTTGAAAGACCTGAATGCAAAATTTACCAAAGGAATAAGACAGAAGGTAAAGGGGAAAGGCAATAGCAGAAAAGATTTATACTGCTAAAAACCACAATACAATATTTGTGCTTATACGGATCAGACTATTTGGCTAGTTGTCAAGAAGAATAAAAGCATTAAGTCAGGTGATATTCTTAATATATTGCTACAGACCTCCAGGGCAGTGATAGAAACTAGATCAGCAAATGTTTTCAAAGATAGAAAAGCTCTGGATAAAATCCAGATTTCTCATCATGTTGGGATTTTAATTACTTGGCTATTGAAAGCAAGAGAGCCATGTACAAACCAAGGAAGTTAAACATTTTCTAAAGATACTGTACAACCATTTTTATACAGTCTGCGGAACAACCAACTTGCCTGAACATTATGTTTGACCTAATTCCAAGAATTACACAAATGTGAAAAATTAAGTCTGATAATTGCTAGGACTCAGGATTACAAAGACTTTACATTTGAAATACAGGGATAAATATTAAAAGAAATACATGCATTTTACTATTTTCCCTGTAGAAAATTGTTTTGTGAGGAAATATAAGCTGTCTGATTGTATTTCACCAGAATTCTGTAAAGGGAAAAAAAGATATGCATCATAAGGAAACAAATGTAGTTGTAAGATTTTGATTGAAATTCATCCTAGCTAAGTCTTTACGGATAAAGAACAGAGGCTAAACTCGTTAAAGCATTAAGGAGTCTATTAAAAATAAGAGCAATTTGGGAAGATGCCAGGTAAAAACATTAGATTAGCAGAAAGTACCAGAAACTAAACAGCCATAAAATTTTTTTAATTAACAACAAAATGTTCTTCAGGTAAATTAAACTCTCTTTGGTAATATGAAGAATTCTGCATTCTCTAATCACCAGTAACCTTAGGAAATCTTCCATATGCAACAGCTGTGTGACCTAGTTTCCTGGAATCAAGATAACAAATAGGTTTATTGTACATAAACACAAAGAAGTTAGAATCACATCTGCAAGATGTGATATAGAAAATGGCTTTTACATGAACAACGAAGCCCAGAAAAAGTGAAGACCTCAAAACTTAAACTATTCTTGATCTAGGCAAATAACTTCTGCTCTCCCAGTCAACTAAAATTCATGGTGACTATGTGCATTTTCTAGCTGCTATTGCAAATCAACACATATGAATCACAACTTAGCATCTTCTATAACTGTCAAACTCTTTAATTTTTTAAGCCACAGAAACCACAGTAAGAGCATTCATAAATTTGCTGCCTTCCAGTATTTCCAGAAATACCAGCAGGTATTTCAGGGCACTTCCGCTCAGCGTGTTGCCTAGCTGTAGCTACCCGCAGCTAGTCAAATCGAATTGTCAATAGTAAAATAAAATCAGTCCTGAAATGTGAATTTCAAGTATTCTATATGTTGAACTCCTAATCATAGCATTGTTTTCTCTCTATCTCCTTCTACAGGACAGCTGTGAAATCCACTATTGTTAATGACTATTTTTCAGAAATACATCAATCTGAACGAAAATATTTCTGCTGCTTCTGTCAGAGGAGGCGACCTCCGCATACAGAAAGCAGCAAAACCCCTAGAATCCAAGCCAGTTGCATGTGGTTGGCCAGCTGAATGCTTGGTATTTTTATCAAAGATTAATGTTTTCCTGTAATATTGAATGCAGTTCGTCTGTACACACCATCAGGACATGAAAATTCCATGTAATAGAACTTCAGAAACATTTTGCAACATAAGTTTATTTATTTGTTACAATAACTGATCCACACTTTGTTCATTATTAACTGTCTTTGTTCAGAAAAATATATTCCACTGCTAATTTATTTTAGTATTGCCTTATGACCAAAATGAACAAAGGCTCTCCAAATGCTTAAAATATGTAAAATATATATATACACACACAAGTACCAAGTATTTCATTCTATCAACTTCACAAAATTTGCATGTGTAAGGAACAGATTAGTGAGACTTACATTTCCTCACCACACGATCAGCCAATTTCCATAAATTTTTGGGGTTTGTTTGTTTGTTTTTTTTTTAAAAAAAAAAAACACTTTTAACAAAGATTTCAATGAATTTAATAATTACATAAGTAAGGATAACTAGTTTCTCCATCATGGAATCACTTATTGTAATTACATTTGCTTGTTCCAACAAGCTTTTTTTGTTTCTAATTATTATTTGTATATTGAATTCTACTTCAGCATGCTTTGTGAATTTACATAACTTCTCAGTGACTTAAAGAAAATGAAGTAACCCAATTTATAAATTGATGAGCAGTACCCCAATCAACTCAAATAAAATGAACTTCTATTACTGTCAATACAGTAGTACGTTATACATCACAATAAGTGGAAGAAAATCAGAGGAGATATTTAAAAGTGATATGGGTATTTATGCAATCATTCTGAATATAAATTTCAAACAGCCACGTTGAGGTTGACCGATATTTACTAGGTGTATTTAGAATGTCTAGAAATTTCTTTGCATGATCATTTGAAGGTAATATTTGCTAAATGTATGTTGATTATCATAAAACTTTAAGGAACACAATCAAAGACCCCTATCCCACTGTAAGTACGACATCCCAAACATGCTTTTCACAATAATAGAGTCATAATTTTGAAGAAATTATTCAGTCCTTAGTATTGCTTAAGCTTCTTCATTATAAATTTGAGTATAAAATCCAATTTTCCCTTTAGTACAAGTGACTCAACAACTTCAGATAGCAGTTTGTTTTCTGACATATTTTGGACATTAGAATCTACAATACATCACACAAAATGGAATCTGTAAGCATAAAGAAATTTACTGAAGAACTCTTTAAGACAGTATGATTTTCTAAAGAATAATCATTAAGTGTATATATCTGATCTAGGCTGCTTTTTCAGTGCCTCAGCTCTCACCTTCTGTAAGTTACCACATGCTTCTTTCATGAACCACAGATCTCATTTGTAAAAGAAACACACAGTCTCGAGATCATTCCTCACTGTTTCTGTCTTGTTCCTTTTCCTGCCATCTTTTCCTTTTCCCTTTATGATACTTTCTATCTTCTTTTACCCTCTTCTGCCTAACCACATTATATCTCCATCTTTTAGTTTTTACACATATATAAGCTCCTTGGCTACCTTTCACCCACTGTGCTGAATTAGCACTACAGAAAGGCAGGCCTCTTCTCAACAAGCAATTACTATTAAGCTCAGCAGGAGCATAGCAGCAGAGCAAGGGACCTCACTTAAATTAGAAACTTATCCTGGGGTTTTGGCAGGGGTTTTTTTAACGGAAAATTTGAGGACATGCTGAAAATAGCAAATCTACAAGTTACTGCATCCTCCATTTTCAATTAACTATCCTTTGTTGTATTTACAAAAAAAAACCCAAATCTCTTCAAAACCCAAACAAAAGCTCCCAAAATATGCCTCTATTAGAGGATAATACCTCAAAAGAAGAAAGAAGAATCATGGGAAAGGCAGTCATTAGTAAATTTAGACAATATACTCTGTTAAACCAACCCTTTCTTTCCCTCAACAAAGTATCTGAATTCCTGAGCTCGTTGGCATTAGTAGATCTTCCAGAACAAGACAGAAAATCAACATCTTATTACCCAATACACCCATTTGGCTACTCCAGCACAACAGCACTGGCCCTTGCAGACAGACTGTTACGTCTGCACCGATGCTCTCCCCTCTTTATGACGAGGACATGAGTAGGAATCACAGCTACATAACTTGGTGCGAAGCATTCACTCTTTGAAACAACAGTAATTATTAAGGAGTCAGGGAGAGCCTTTGGGGCTGCTGTTGTTATCACAGGCTCACTCAAGAAAATCAACCATGCACACAAGATGACACTTGTTCCTGCAAACTTAAGAATGATTTTCTCATGTCCAAGGGACTGAGAGTCAGACATGGCGTGTACAAGACTATTCTTTCTAAGAGAAACAACCCTGGGCAGTCCAGAAAGTGATTCCTGAAACTTTCTATCCCCTCCAAAGGCTTTTTCTACACTGGAAATAAGGGTCAATGTAAGAAAACTGATTTTAACAAGAGTAGTAAATGTATTTCCGTAATTTTTTTTTCTTGTGTTGCCCCAGTGCTTTTTTGAAAACATTTATACTATGTAAGCACATGAGACATAAATAAGCAATCAAGAGTAACAGCTCTTCCCCCAATGCTGTCCTTGCTCTATAACACAGCTGTTCTTGGAAACATGGAAATGACACTGGGAGACTGGAACTGGTAACTCTGCACAGAAAGTTTCAGACAGCTGACCCAAAAACCATGTTTGCCTATCAACAAAGTCTATGAGAGGAGCACTCCTTCCTGAAGTTGCTAAGTAAGTGTAATTTTTTTTTTGGTCCCCTGTGTCTTTGAGGAAAAGTTCAGAAACCATAGAAAACCTCAAGACTCCAAGCAGAAAGGAGCACAGGTTTGTAACACATAATAAGAACAGAAAGCAAACAAACAAAAATACCAGAATACTGAGAAAATGGTACCAACATGCCCAGAAGGAAAAAGAGCAAAGTATACAGCCTAAATACTAAGGTAGTACAATGACAGTGCCAAAATAAGCCTACTTAAAGCAAAGCACACAACAGAAACAACTGGAAACTTATCAAACACAAATACTGACCGGTGGCAAAGAAAGTCGCAGAAGATAAATATTCAAGAATCAAAGCTGGCAACAAGACTGTAGGACCAAGTGGCATAACACAGAGATAGCCAAGCATGACTAAAACTGAGAAAAGAGTCACTTGGTTCTCCCACAGCAGAAAAGCTGCTACCGATATGAAGCAAGCAGTAGCATATGAGATAACCTCTCCAACCCTCTCTTTGGGGAGAACAGCTCTGGAGGGAGATGTAGGGAAGGTTTTCCTCTCCTGTGCTCCAGGTCTCCCACATGGCGCAGGGGACCGGTCCAGGGCACTTGGCGCAGACAGCTGGTGCACTTTCAAGAGCAGCACTGCTGCCTGTGGCTGTGCCAGGGCCGGCAGGCCAGTTGGAGCTGGCAGCCTGCCCCACTCCCCCTCACAGGCTAATTGTCTCTGGCATGAGCTCCTCAAGCAGGAGAGCAGCCACAACCCCGCACAGCAAGCAAGGCATAAATGCCTTTAGCAGGGCGCTGGAGAGCTATGCTACAAGCACCGGATGCCAGCCACAGCACCACAGCACACCCACAGCAGAGGATCTCCTGGCAGCAGGAGAGAAGTTGAGAGATGGCCAGCATATTCATTAATAAGTCATCAGGGTGTGTTATAAGGCAAACAACTTTCAAAATTCTTCCAAATGCATGATCCACACTGCTGTCAAAGTATCTGTGTCTGTGTTTCAACACAGCTGTTAAATGGGTCACTCATTAAAGCATAACACTCTAGAAAAGGAAGGAATCAGTCTAAACAAATTACAAATAATCTTCATTATTAATCAAGTATACATTACCAAAGCAGTTATCAAAGACTTGCACCCTTAGAGCAAGCATAAGGTGCTGGCAGAATAAAAACAACATCCAGAGATCAAGTAAGAACAGAAATAGAATTAGTTCAAGGTTCTACTCTTAATACTAAATAACTAATAGAACGCTTCATAATTGAGAGCTTTCACTCCTGATGATTTTTTTATGAGTAATTTAGGCATCTGCCATTCCAGTCAGCAAATCGTTATGGACGTATACACTTCAGCATTGTGGTGTCCTCATTTCACACAGTTACATTGACAGTGTTTACCAATGAGAACCACTGAAAGGCTTTCATGTAGAGAAACGAGTAAGTCCAAACAGAAAGGAGAATGAATTAAAACTATGGGGGATTGAAATAATTCCTTTAGTTTTGAAATATTGCTCTTACATTTTAGCCAAATGACCCATATGCAGAAACATGAAATACTACAACGGAGGCATGTTTTTCCTACACATTACAAAAATCAGACCACACCCTAAGTCTCCTCAGATTCACCTTTCTCACAATGCTAGAGCCCGATTTCTATTGTAGAGGTGCCAGAGAATGAGAGAACATTTTGGTGCCACATATACACTGAAACACTAAGCTCCTACCATACTTTATACACTATTGCTGGTTATACAAAGATTTCTCATCTGGACTTTTTTTCTGCTTGCAATTATGGCCTAAGGCACAATTTAAAAAATATTTAAGTATATAAATATATATAACTGAAAATTTAGACTAAGTACACCCCATAAAACTCAAATTTCTATGAGGTACTAGATAGACCTTTGCTGTTTACCTTCTGGGCACAGACAACTGAATCCACGGATGCTGGATGAGCAGGTAGCTCCATTTTGGCATGGCTGCTGGATGCAATGATCAATCTCTGACTGGCACAGCTCTCCGGTGTAACCTACAAAACAGCACACAACATCCAGAAAATATAGCAAAAATGAGGTTTAATCACTAAATGTATTACTAGGTCATTCAAACAGTACCATTAGTTTTGTTGAATAAAAAGTAAGAAATAGAATCCAGGACAGTCTTCTAATTTCTTATAAAATGAGATTTTTAATTAGAACTTATACTTCACTGAAGAAACATAAACAAGTAGTGGAAATCTAGATATCATATCAATTGCATTTTACCTGCAGCAATATTCTGACAGCACTAGTATAATGGAGGATGGTGCTGGGTCCTCATCAGCACCCACATAACCAAAAAGAAGTAATTTTTGAATGGTTTTCAAATGCATCTTGAATCTTAAGTCAACAATCTTCAGCAAAACTTTATCAAGGCTTGACATTATGAATTATTTGTTCATATGCTGAATGACTGCCATTTGCTCCTACTTCTGGGCTTCAAAAAGAGTGTTTATTTTAAGTGGGAGCTGTGAAGAACTGCTCAGCACAGTTGTGAACCCTTCCAAATAAGCTCCTATAAGTTCACAAACTACAGATTGTGTGTACTGTACTATTTGACCACAAGTTTACCTTGTTCCATATGTCTGATGTCTACAAGACATCCCCAAAAAATGAACAAACTTATGAAATAAAATCTAAATTACTAAATACTCCAAACTTAAATTCCTTAACAAATACCACACATTCCGCTTTCTAATTTTTATTTACCTCCAAGAAACCATCTTGGATGCATGACTGAAGAAGAAACTACACACAGAGGCAGTGTATTTTTCAAAAGGACCCCTACATACAATTGTAAGTATCTTCCAAACAAGCATGTCTGACACAATGGCTGGTGTTAAAGACCAGTAAGCTATGACTAGGTGACACAGTTAATACACTGCTATGAACAGGCATCTAAGACAAAGACCCCAAGGTAAGAAATAGGATGTGCCTGGACCAGGATTTTGCTCATGCAGGGGAGAAAAAGGAAAAAGGGGAAAAAAAAACCCAATAAAAATTAACATTTTGGGCAGGCTGATACATATACCTGTTCAAATCTATTGATGTCACCATAAAATAGCTCAACATAGATTGTTGTATTTGGAGTTGCGAGAGCACTACTATAGAAAAGGATCTGTAAGACTTTCCTCTCTGTGTACCTTACTGCTTTTATATGCTAAGGAGCGCTAAATTATGATCCTATTTTCTGCAATACAAAACCTAGAAAAAGAAACTCCATTGTATGTCATATCTGCATTAATGCCCATAAATCACCTAAACTGGAGAAAAATAATGGAGGTTGACAACTAGAACTGTGTTTTCATGAGGTAGCTCCTCTGGACCAGATTGAGGCACTTGGGGGGCTGTCAGCCTCACTCTGGATAACTAGTGATTGTCTGTAATTCTAATTGGTCTTAAATTAACATAAAATTTACAAAAACAGCAATGAAGTATTATAGAAGGCTACATCAACTGATTTCTTTCATCCATAGGCTTCATATTTTTTCAAGTTCTCACATTCAGCTCATTATTTTTATGAATCATAACACAGTATTGAATATGCTTAACTCATTTACACATTTATCCCATCTTCAAACTGTTACCAAGTTTGTGAAAGCTAAAAATTGCCCTGGAATTCAAAGTGTATCCAAAAGAACGTTGTCACAAAAAGGCAGAAGTGATTGTGGTCCTCTGAAGCTTGCTACAAGAATCTGACTTCCTGCGATTGTCATTATAGCTTGTGGGAAAACTCAGAGATAACACTTCATGTCAGCTTTACGAAAATAGATGTCCCATCTTATTATTAACTATAGGGCATGTTTTGCCCATCTGAAAGAGAATATGATTTGGGAATTTCATAGCAAAATGTTGCAAGTGCTAAAATTAAGAGGTGCTAAGCAATCACCATGGTGGGGGGAAGCAGTTTTCTGTTGAGACACACCTTAAAAATCATTACACCTATTCATTTTGTGTTGATACTTATCTTCATAACATTTCCTTCTATCAAGATTTGGGAAACTTGACCCTATTCACATACAAATGTTTCTGAAAATTGCATATGGAGACATTTATGATAATTAAACTCTTATTTACCATTTTAATATTTTTCCACATGCAATTAATATTTTTCAGAAATTTATAATTATATGAAAACAGCTAGTTTTTCTGAATATGTTTTTGATGTGTGGGTACAAATTTGGGGAAAAATTTACAGGTAGAAACACAAGCTATTGAAGTTAACAATTCTTAAGCCATCTTAAAAACATTAGACACTTGGTATTAAAAAAATTAAGAATAATTATTTTAAACAACTTAAAAGCTGAACCTAAACACAACAAGTGGAGGCCATGAAGCACAACCTTGCAAGTTCCAGAATGTAATAAATTAACTATATATGGCTTACTGAGGATTTACAGAAGGACTTGATCACACTGTCATTCAGAAGGGAAGCCTTCACATATGGAAACCAAACAATTTCATTACATCTATTGTAAGCTTTGTTTTATACCATGAGAAGTAGGAGGGGGTTTGTAGAAGGAAATATTTAGAATTTTGACATTTTTTTCCCACCAATAGGAGCTAATAATTGTTCTAGAGACAAGGAGAAGAAATAATTACGAAAATAACAAGGCATAAAATATGTTTTACAGTTCCATTTAAAAAATAGTTTTTAAATGGAAAGAATAAAATCCAAAGTTAAACAACAGTAAAGACATCAATAGAAATTTATTTCCAAAATATGTAAATGCAATACTTTTTCTTCAAGAAATTTTCATGATCTTAGTCATTGTTTCCTGGCATCTCATGGTATCAATTTTTAGCTTAGCTAAAACTCAGCTGTACAACTTGAAAATATTAAGTTTTCCTAGTGGAAACACTCTCAGGCTTTACAATAAGCACATCAGAATTATAATAAATACTCCCCCTAAAGCTTTTTTTACACAACTAAAACTAAGAATTTTGAAGTATTTGAAAAATATTTTATGTTAAATTACATACCAATAAAAATTTTGATTTCAGGAAACTGGGGTAGGTTTTTTTAAGAATCATTTTTTTTATTTCTTCTGAGGTAGGGAATTTGAAAAGAAGAAATTTAGCCTGACAGTACTTGATGTAGAACAATTTCCAAGGTAACTATCTCAATAAAAGCAAACATCACAATCATAGCAAACACATTTTTTCTTTTCTGATTGGAAACTACTAGTCAAAATCCAAAAGAATTCTGAATCAACCATATTCAACATGACGGTAATGGCAGGGATTGTTCAAACATTTGAAGTTTGTTCCACTCTGGTCTTTCTCTTCTCACATTTAAATCATTATTCAACTGTATTTACACACCTTGTTAAAGTGACTGTTGATCCTTTGGTAAATTTATGAAACAAAATATAGTACACCTGCATAATAACTTCATATCCTATTTTAAGAGCAGTATAAATCCAGGTCATTATATAAAAATATGAATATTTGTACTATGTGTACAAAAATACAAATATGTATAAAAATACAAATATGCCCTTTCTTGTGGCACATTTGCTACAATGACTTTAAGCAAAGACAGAAAAACTGGAGGTCCTAGAGACAGAAAAAGTATAATTAAAAGGAAATGTCTCGGCCTTCAGAGAGAATGAAGGGGCCTTAATAATTTGCCATTGCTGATCTTCTGAACTGCAAAGTTCACAGAACAGTTCAGAGGATAGCACATGGCATCCATATTAAAGCATCATTTGCATCCACCTGCTTCCAGCTCAGTCATTCTCCAAGCTACTTGCACATAATTTAGTGCAGATAGAAGTTTCTCTAGTCTGTGCTGACATGTGTTAGGGTAAATAATAAGAATATTCCCATCTTTAAGGGAATATCGGCACACTCACTCCGTGATCCTGCTTTGGGACAGAGTAAAGGAAGTATTGCCACATGTACCTTTTATATATATATTTAATGCACACAAATACCCACCCAGCATTAAAGTCAGTCAATAACATTTAGACACAACCATTAGAAACTTGACCAAATCGTTCATTTCTCCATCAGCTTTTACATTCTGCAGATCTTGGGGCCTATTCTGGAAGTGGCTTCCTTTTTTTGATTTCTTCTCTTTTTTTTCTTGTTCAGGTAAGTCCCCTTTCTCTCTAATGTGAACTGACCAGTATTACAGAAATAAAAGTGTACAGTAAAATGTTTGTCAGAAGCAAAATAAATTACCTGCTACTGCTCCTAATCTTAGCCAACTTTTATTTTTAAATATTAGGAAACACATATTGAAGAAACTGTTCTATGATGATAACTGAGCTTGGATTTGAAATGTAAAGTTTGGATAGCAGAGTTTTCTATAATAGCCATTGAGTAAGGTTTTTTTCATCACCATAAATCTTTAATTTCCCCTCCAGCTTATGACCATCATATTTAATTTTAACTTCATTTAAGACATCTATATTCATTCAATCAACTTTTTAAAGCAAACGTTCTTAAAATAACCAGGGAACTCAGACACATGTTCATTAATCAAACCCACAAATTACTTCGTTCAGTTTACGAATTTTTTTTTAAAGTTTTCAAAATTCAAGTTAATTCTGAGGAACAATCCAACAACTGCACAGTCTGGTGACAATTTTCTTCCATTTGATTGGTGCAACTAAAGAAAAGAGTTTACTAGTTACAATGAAAGCATGCCTATTGAAAGGTTAGTTATAATGTATACTTAAAATCTATATTGAAAAGAAAAAAACAGATTAAGAATAAATTGATGTAAACTAAACTTTGGTCATCTCTTCTTACTAGGTAAAGTTCTATTAGTTATGAATAATTCACTCAATTAGGTTATGGTTCAGATGTGTGCTTTCAATGGCAATTTTCACAGATGAAGAACTTTCTACAGTCTTTTAAAAACTGGCCTTATGTTGTTGTTGTATTTTTCTTCTTTCCTAGTATCTGAAGTTGCACAGTTCACTGCTCTGCAAAAGATGCACCGAATGTTAAAACAAAATTGCATTATTCAAGGCATAATACAAAACCTACCAGCTGGGCAGCTGCAGGTGAAGTTGTTCCTGTCGTGTTTCTGTGCCACATTGGTGCAGGTTGCATTGTTCTGACAGGGCTGGCTCTGACAAGCATCAAATTCTTCACACAGGGAACCCCAATACTCATCCTCGCAGTCACAGAAAAAAGTTGCCTAAAACCAAACAGGATATGTACCTCAAAACAAATTTTCGAAGATTATGTTTTCATTGAATACTCTGCTAAACAAAGATGTTTTCGTTGTTTTCTTGTTCATAACAACAGTAGCTGCCACAAATACATAAACTGCACAAAGTTACTCTGAAATACTAAACCTGCACCAATTCTTCAGCTAAAATTTTTAATGATGCCAGGTAATTTCATCTAGCCAAGGAGGCTAGGATCAGATCCATAATATCTAAATGATTATAAATTTTTACTTTAATGCCAGAAATTATATTTATAGACTGGAATAATAGTCAGCATAACTAACGTGCAGATTTACTGCAACAAAATCCTACTACAAAGATGCACCCTTTATGTGAAGGGCAGGGCTGGGGTCCTAGAGGGTCACTTCAGTGGTACTTCAGTAGTGACACACCCCTTCAATTCTGTTAAAATATGTCTTCTTCTGAACGTATTTGTTACTTTTTCCAAATCCTGCTGCTTAATAAAAGGTCAAGAGCACTACACCTGTTAAAGATTTAAAATACCTATAGTAGGCATGATATGGCACATTTTTGCTAGTAATAAAAGAATGAAAATTTGTTTAAAAAAATTCTTTAGGCCACTAAGATTGCCAAGAAAGCCTCAAAGAATGGAAGCAAGGAAAGCTCGCTCATCCGTAGTATACATTTAGACTACATATCTTACTTTCTTTGTTCGTTAAACACTAGATGGCAACATCACTCACTCTCATATGTTTCAAAGCCAGACCATTAGGGCTGGTACGCAGCTGTCCCATGCACAAACATTGTAATGCAAAGTATAGCATATGCATGGAACTAGAAACAAAGAGACGGGCTTAGTACTTTGTCTTCTATTTTTACTCATGTTTGCTTCCTATGAATAAACAGCTGTGACCTAAGTAGAAAAGAAAATAATCATCTTCATACAAATAAAAAACTTTACTCAGAAAAACCCATTTTCATTCTTCCTTACAAATATTACACTGGTAGACATCTCCAAAACTCAAAATGACAGATATCTTTCATCAGGAGTGCCAGAAGTCCCTGCTAAGTCTATACATGTTCTGGTATTCACCCAAGGCTCTTCACAAAGCAGCTCTGAGTATCTCACAGATTAGCAATAACAGGTTTCCAAACAAGGCTGTAGTTCAACAGAAAGGACAGATAGGCAAGCAAATCAGTGAAAATTATTACAATAACATAGCACAGTAACTTACTTTGAAGATAATTCACATAAGCTACACAGGAAAGTGGCTAACAAAGTGAAACAGATAATCACTTTTACTTAATAACTAAACAATTAACTAAATACACCATAAGTATTTCTGTATTTCCATATAGCATTGGTGGAAAGCACATCAGCACAGGGATCACTTTGGTCCCTAAAGACCACAGCAATCAGCAGTTCAAAACTAGTTTTGTCCTTGCCATCTCCTATCATTGGAGTCATGCAGTACCATTGTGCATATATAGGATCAGGACCCAGATAAATAGTGCACATAAACATGTTGCCGGCAGCATCCTTCACAGCTGTTCTAACTCTTACTGATACTGAGTTATGTTGTTGACTTGAAATTTTTGTTCCTGGAATGGAGTGTGAAGTTTAGCCTTACTACAAAATCAGGGTTGCTGCCTGTCTCAATAACTTACCTGTTTTGGATGAACACAGTCTGATACCATACTATGAAAAAAAAGGCATTTTTTTCTTAAAATTTACATGAGTAGAGCATATGGAAAGATACAAGCACTGTACCTAGATTCTGTGCCATTTAAAAGGATTAAAGTCTTGATCTCATTCAAATGTGTTTCTGGTCTTTGTGTATGCACTGACAATGAGAACAGGCTTATCTACATCTATCTGAGCTGAAGACATCCCTAAGCAAGAGATCCAGGAAGTATAACACCCCATTAAAGTTAACTCTGTCAGAACAGAGACGTACCATATGTGTTAGGTAGGCTCAGGTTCATGGTTGTTTTATGCTAGATCTGAGAGTAAGATGCAAAGTATATCATTATCTGAACCATCCATCGGAGAGGAAGGGAATTTCTGTAATGTCCACACAGACAGCATGGCTCTGCCTGCACTAAAATCTCATTTCAGAGCAATGGAAGCCGATTATTATAATGTAAGTATGAATATATTCAAACATTGCATCAGTCATTGCCTCAACAATATTAATGAAACAGGAAGTTAAGAAAAGCTCAGATAATATTGCTATCTCTCTAGTAGTATGATATAGGGATCAATTTACCATAAAGTGTAGTTAAGAAAATGGGTTTTGAAAGCAGAAAAAGCATTATAACCCTTCAAACTGAAATGTCTAATGACAGATAACAGTTCTGAGATGCAGACAAGTTATTCTGTAGAGAAGATTAGGTGTCGTCATTTTTGTTAGGCATGTCATCTTCACTTTTCCCAAATGATACTATTATTTTTTTTTCCTGAATAGATGACATATAGTAACATATTTGAGGAAAATTAACTCAAGAAGCAGCTAAACACTGCCATAATGCTGATATTAAAGTCTCTATTTAAGAATTCCAAAACAATCTACTATCAATAGACAGTTCATCTGTGCATTTTACTTGATTATGGGAGTGCCATCACTTTGGATGGCAATAAAATACATTCTTTAAAATAATTTGCTATTATCCCATCTGTAAGTATCATATTATAAATATAGTTGTAATATAATACTTTTTTCCTATTTCAAGTAAAGCAGAGTAATAATGTGCTTATCAGATTCTAAATTTCACATTAGAGATACCATAAAAGCTCAACTTTTTTTTTTAAACTATAGTAAAGAAGCTGTTAAGATGACCAGAACAAAATGAATGTCTATTCTTTCTCTTGCTGAGAAAGACTTTCAGTATTTATTACAACTCACAGTGAGTTGCTATAACATTTGAGCAAAACATTGCTGTATGATAATTACATATTTTGTATTTAGGAGTACATTGTACTGCGGAAACTAAGTCCATATGCAGGAGAGAAAGCCTTTAGGTATACATGAGGCTTTTTTATAATTAGCTTTTCTATAGATTTGGATCTACCTTGAAGCTCCTAGCCGATACAGAAGACATGGAAGTCATTATTATTTTCAACACATTACTTCCCAGTGCAGGCAGAGGCCAGTTATTTTTGTGTAAATCTCAAGGGTTCTAAACCTAGCAATAAAATTTCATATTTACACTGTCAGCTCTTTCATATTTAGCATGGGAGAGCTGAAGTTATGGAACGCAGCAATCTGAAAGAAATAATTTTATCCCCATATGTAGGCAAAATTGTGGCACTCAAATCCAATGGATGGCCAAAGTTCACTTTAAAATCCTACATGGAATCAGAAATTCACCAAAAAAAATCTCTCCCTTGGCAGTAATACCAAGATTTTTCTCTTGCATTCACAGCTAACTGGTTTGAAGACAACTTATTCTGGTGTAAAGCTGAGTATATGAACGTGAAAGTGGTATTTATATCGTGATGATACCAAGACGAGATTCCCCTTCTGACACACTCCCATTTCCATTGTGGAAGAATGGCAAGCATGGTAGCAAAGCAGAGGTGCAAAGTTCATATACAGGAAGGTCAAGGCATCACTTTGACTCAGCATCACCTCACTTCACAGAACTTTAAATAAAGTGGTGAGTTTTATATTCATTTCAAAAGCTCTTCCATTAAAAGCTTTTTCATACCCACACTCTACAAAAAGCATCTCGTGGAATAGAAGCTAAGTTATGTATCAGGAGGAAATGTGCAAAACTGTAAAGTAAGAAGTGAGTAAAAACTGGCCAAGACTTCCATGTTAGACCAGAATTCATTTGTTTATAGTTTTTATGTACTCCATAGATTACAGTATGTATCACTGCAGACTGTTAATTACATTTAACTTTCCCACTAAGCAGAGGTGTTACTACATTCTTTTACGTTAAACCACATTTGGAATAAAACTATAAATTACATAAAACCACAAAGACAATCACCAATCTTTTTGGCACTGGAAGCAATGACTAGAGCCAGCAGAGCTCTTAGCTTGTTCATGGTATAAGGCCTTTTATGCATTCTTCTAAGAAGTTGCTTTGCATCCTCCAAGGCTAGATTGTGCAAAACCAAATGAATTATAGATAAAAGAAACAGCAGATCACAAAGGGCATGCTGTAAACCTGAAGAAAATTAAAATTTCAGCTCTGCAAAAACAACTGCAGAAGATGCATCTTGTGGGAAACAGACACAATGGTTGGTACACGTCAAACAATTTTGGCAGTTGTTTGCTCCATCGTTAGAGAAATAATCAAGGTATTTTAGGGCATATCTCACCTAAGATGAGTTAAACAATGGCAAAAACATCCTGCTTAATGAAATATGCACCTTCTATTTCTACCTATCTTGCTGGGCCTGAATCAGTTTCCTGTCTGAAGTTCTGTTACACAACTAATAGGCTAAAGAGTAAGGAAACCTGACAGATTTAAAAACCACTATGGACAGATGACATTTTTATTCTCCCTGGAGTAGGAACTTGGAGATAAATTATCTACATTTGCAAACACTGTATCTGAGGTGTTAGTAAGTTAACCCAGCCCAGCAGGCTAGCTGGCATAGGTTTGATGGTACTCGAGAGGGTCACTGGGGACGTATTCCTCATTTGTTCAAGTTCTAGAAAATTCAGGAGCAGTTTGTGACAGTGAATTACATTTCTGAAGTTACAATTTTATTTGAAGATAAGAGATACTGAGAATGCTGCTAATTCCAGTTCTCTAACTACCATGAATTGACAGACGCCTCTTCAGAAATGGACTTCAACATAATTTCTATGTCCCACAGCTTCAGCCACAGGGGCGTCAGTCAACTACAGCCTAGCGCATGCTACATCATAAACACCACCTTAATAAATCTGCTAGTTATTACTCAGGTTCAAAGAAAGAATAGGTGGAAAGATACGAACAATCCTAATTCTTTCTATTCATTTTCCAGGGAAAGCAACACACTACCTGTGCATGAGGGCAGTTCATTTATCACTAATGGTTCCAGTTTTAACATACAAAACTTTAAATGTCAAGATTACAAGTGGGGATGTACATGTACTGATTTTTTTTTTTTGAGTGACATAATAGCTCCTCTTTCTTGCCATGAAGCTAATTTGGTTTTCTTTTTAAAGACTACTTTATTTTCCTTTTATTACTATTATTTTATTTTTATTCTCTCAAAGATTTAGAAAATATAGATAAGTATTAACGGCCATATATGCATTTTCGTTAACACAGAAAAGCATTAATGCTTCTGCATAGATACAGGAAGTAATTTATTTTTATTTTGTGACATACGACATACAGTAAAGAAATTAGTCATAAAAATGGTCAAACAACATGAAAAAATGGAAAATAAGACTATTTATCAAAGGCTTTAACTCTCAACTTGACAAAAAATGGAAAAGATGACATTTTGACATGCTGTTATATACAGTAAATTTGAACATATTATTTATATAATATGTTCACATTCAAGATGCTGAATTTATAACACAAAAATATTAAATATACTAAAGCAGAAAAACTAAACTGGACTATGAATAGGACACTGTATACAAACAAATAATTTCTTTGGATACCAGCCAGCTGGTATGGTACAGTAGCACTTCTAAACACATCTTGCAATAATTGTGTTCACACATTACCTCAAGCATTTTAAAATTTTATTTTTGTGAAATAAAGCAGATACTCAATTATTCCAGATGTTAGCCCGGCCATGCATATAGAGATAACTGCAGCAATTTAATTATTGTTGTTACAATTCAAAATGACATTTTTCAATAAAACATGCTTATTGAGAATTTAAATCAGAAAATGGCAGCAGACGAACTAACAGTGAATTCCCTAAATATGCCAAATTTTCTGTGCTCACAGTAGGCTCACAGCTGTTAATATTTACTCAGCAGTTACTATTGCTTTTATCTCCCAAATGAATATTAATAAAACCAAAAGATTAACTGTCCATATTTGTGCTGCAAATGACTTTTAATCCATGACATAAAATCAACATATATAGAAGGTAACAGAGAATACAGGATCTCATTCACAGAAGGCCAGTCTAGTTTTGTAAAAGCAGTATACAGACTGCAAATTTGACACATTTGGTTCTTATTTTCTCATGTTACTAGATCATGCAAAAAATTCACAGGGGTCAGTGGAATTGCTGTGGCCATTGTAATCTCTCAGTGTAGTATTATGTAAAGGAGAAAGCCATACAGGAAAATTTCCAAACATTACCGAATTACTCCATTCTGTTTCTTCTCATAATTATGTTCAGACAATTCCATTGCACTGATCAGTGATTTCTGAGTGAGCAATTATTGAGATGTGGAGAGATAAGTACTGATTAAATCAGACCTAAAACCAAAAGAAGGTTGAAGACAAACCGGAACACACTGCTCTGGAGACTGGAACACACTGCTCTGGAGATTTGGGATCGAAAGTGCTCCTCATCCCATAAACAAATATTCTTGTATAGTAGCAGTAAGATGCAGTACATATTACCTTATACCCAATTTGACTAATTGTTTTTATTGCCAGGGCAGGGTATGAATGTTTGCATCTCCTATCAGTTATTTTCTTTGTCTAAGTGTTTGACTTTTTACGAATAGTAAATAAATAATTGTTATTATTTAGTGACATCTGTAAGCTTTAGAAGCCTGTTATGCAGCAGCAAGGTATGCACACCCTCAGAGGACCAAGTACAGTTTACCCTGTTGTTTATATTACCGTGGAATTTCCACACTACAGGAAGGTCTGTCTTGATAAGTTCACCTTACCTCATCTGGTCTGGTGATACATTTTCCTTTCCCCGAACACTGGAGGTTATCTGAATGGCCTTCCACAGGCATGCAGGTACTGACTTTCACTATCACAGTCAAGCGTAGAGCCACAATGCACTTAGTAACTGAATCATTCAAAAAACCTTCAAAAGAAAAATCATTTTTACTACATGAGAAAATACACTAATACATATTAATGCTCTACCACTAGACAAACAAAACTGAACTAAAAGCAGCTGTCAGCTGAGAACACAATTTCATACACACCTATCTAAATTTAATGCATGTCAATACAAATTAGAATATAGTATGGAAACAAACACTTATTATATTGATTAACAAAAGGAAGGCAGGCTGGTGAAACAGATCCATCTCCAGATACCTCTAATCTGCCACAATTTTTTCGGTAAGTTAAAAATATATTTCCTTAAGTTTTTTAATAATAAGGAATATTAACATCAAATTCAACAAAGAAAAATGTTTAAATTAATTTCTAAAAGTTACTTCAGATCTAAAAAGCTCATAGATCATAAACTGCATTACATTGGTAACAGATGGACAATCCCTTTGGCTGTATTTTTTATGAAGTTTGCAAGAACATACATACAGAGTTTGACAGCATCTCTTTGTATATTTGCAATACAAATATTACTGAATGTCTGACCTGATCACTCTATAAGGTGATATACCAGGCATGGACGAACAAAACATGAAAATGGGAACACTTGATGAGGAAGAGGAAAACTCATTAATTTCTCGCTAGCACCTATAATTGTATGGAATTAAAAAAAAAAAAAAGTAGTTGGTTGGAAGCTATTAAAACACACTAGAGCATAACAACATCCCTATCACCCATATTTCTAAGAGATATATCTGGAAAATAAAATAAAGGACAGAAGGAAAGATAAAATGAGGCACATACACAGCCCATGACATACACAATTAAGTCAGAGTTCATGTCAAAATATATATACCCCGCTCCTATACTGATGCTCAAACACTGTTCCACCACAGTGATTAGAATCCTGTTTACAGCCCTTCCATGTACGGAATCAGTTAGGTGTTTTGTTCTGGGATTTTGTGGCAGAATAAATGTGCAGTGAAATAAAAATTGTGTCTTTGGTATAGTGTATATACTATATGCAGAATATACGCATAAAAACCCATAAAGATCCATAAATCATCAAACTTAAAGTTGACTTCACTATCCTTAATGCAGGTAGACTCCTAAGGGTTTAAGACTGTAGTATCAGTATGGAAAGTTAAACACAGAGGACCATTGCAGGATTATACTTTTCTTTATAAATTACTAGTGAGAGAATTTAAATAAAAATGAATGCTTTTTTTAAATCCAAATATCCTTAATTTTTAAAAGAATTACACTAAATAGATGCAGGAAATGTATGACATAGAAGGTTTTTTCTAATATCTTCCACTCAAAATTCTAGAATTCATTTACTGCCTAAACCTTAAAGAAATTTCATAGACACAATCTAGCTTCTTGCATTACAGACTGAAGCCAGCATAATATTTAGTCAAGAAGAAAAAAATTAGTACAAGATAATATTTATAATGAACAGTGATAAACCACAGTTTCATGAAACACTCTGACCTTCAGGTGAGTTCTCTTTCCAGAACAGCTGCTAAACATTACTTACATTCTGCATATGAAAGTGTCAAGCATAAGCAATTCTACAAATTCCACAGGAAATCATATAGAAGACTTCCATTCTTTGTTCTTCATTTTTAGATTTCACTTTTTAAAACACTTCATCCTTTGAACAATTAGCTGTCTATGCTAGAAACAATGATCCCTAAACCATATCTTCAAAGCAGAAAAATCTTATGTCCAATATAAATGTCATCAGCTTGATTATAGGCTCTACAAGTTAGCTAAATATTCTAAAAGATGAGATTAAAAGAAAATGCATTGGGTATAATTTCAGATGTCTAACAGTCTGTTTTGGCTAGTGAAGATTATTGTAATCTGCTGACCTCTTCAAAGCAAGCCAATTTATTCTGGCCTTAATATACACCCCATTTTTACCCATCTGTTCAAAGACATAGCCAGAATTATTTCCTTTAACAATTGAATGCAATTGTCACTGGCAGTCACGCAATTATGTGTGAACGCTTGCAAGAATGTGGTATTTAGGAAATGTCTTTGGGTTCACATTTGCTTGTCTGAAGCAGATTGTTACATATTCTTCAGGACAGTTCCCTAAAGGAATATTAAATCAACCTCCTTTGTACTTTGAATCTTGTTCCTATTTTGGTATCAAAAGCCCTTAGGCAAACCACTGACAAAAAAAAAACCACAAAAAAAACCCACCACAAAAACAAACACCACCACATTATTCTCACTGGAATGCCACATATTTTCCTGTAATTTCTAATTATCTCATTTAATTTCCAAAGACCAGAAAAATAAAACCACGAGTATTTATTTTCACTCTATAGAACTTGCATAGAACTTTCTGAGATCTCTAAGTTTTAAGACCAGAAGAAGCTTGTCTGATCATCTAAATATGACTCCCTGCTTAACTCAGGTCACAGCATTTCAATTAATACCTTCTCCAGTTCCCATAACAGCAACTAAACTGGAGGGAGTTTTAAGTTCTATTTTTAACTTCTAGGTAGGAGAATAATTTTGGAAGCATGTTTACTGCTCCCTTCATCTAAGGTCTGAGGAAAACCATTACAGCTCTTTATATTAAAACATAATTTTGTTCAGTTTAACCTTGCTGCTTTTCTAAAGTTAGTTAAAACAAGGACATTAGAGCATTTTAAGCTGAAGAATTCAGGGTTGAGCTATTTACAGCAATAATACAGAAACAATTTTAAAGCCTAATAAATCATAATATGATGCAAATAGTCATTTAGATTGCAGAGGAGGCATTTTCAAGCTCTGTGCACACAGGTTTGATAGTCTGAGAAATGCCTGCATGATTTCATTGGCAGTATGCATGGTAAAATACACTACAGCTCATTCCACCCTGGTAGCTTCATCTACTTATGCCTAGGAGCACAAAGTACACATGCTCCTGTTTTTCTCACATCAAGAAAGTTAAGAATGAAAAATAAGGCATAAAGTCAAAATAAAAGGTGTCATCCTTGTGTCCAGGTGCTTTCAGCAAGATCATATCACGCCATTCAGATTACCACTACCCAAACATTAATAGAGTGACTGTAGATTTTCTAGACTACACAAACTGATTTGCTTCCTCCACAAGTCCTGCTTCTGAACAATACCTTCCTTCTATGCACGGCAGACTGAGGTCAGCCAGCTGGTCCATAATGTACTGCCAAAATAAGGAAGACTGAAGCTGATAGGCCACCAACTCAGAACATTATCCCATTGCATATTATGTTTATAGAAAGCATAAGACTGAACTACAAATTGTAACTCTTGGTATGCAGCCAATGCTATCATACACACAAACACTACTGCCTATTGCAATTGGCTCAAATTTACTTCTCCGTATTCTATACAGTGAATATATGTATTCCAACACATTCACCCACAGGTGAAACAACAGATTATCATTTTACAGCAGAAATACAGTAATAGTTCCCTACATTCACATCCAGTTCCCAAAAGCATAGGTCTGAGTCCACCTAAAAGGATGTCAGAGAATGACTGACAAGGTGTTTGAGCACTCACTTAGAATGAAGCATCAGTCCCCAAGTTTTCAACTTATTTTTAGCCTAGTTTCCCAAGGAAATGAGACAACAGTGGGATATCTATCAGTTTCCATCTGTTCTCTTTTTCTCTCTCAACACTTTCCCACACCAAAAGCTTTTGGGGTCAGTAGCCAACTTCAACATTTCGCAAAGCAGTTGAGTTCTCAAAGACACTATGTGCCTACAGCTTCCCTGCGCAGTATATAGCTGTGGCACTAAGGGTATTGGAAGGTCAAAATTGGTAGGACAACAAAAAAGGGCCCCAGAATAAGGTGATGTCATTTCTCCACCCTATTCCCAGTGTACAGTACAGTCAGTTATTCATCATTTGGAAAATGGGAAGCTGGGATATATACAAATGGAAGAAAAATAGATAGTATCAGTCCTTCAGGAGCAAAGCAGTGGGACTGAGTGTGCCTGCACCACATCTTCAGTTCATGTTATGCAGTAACATAATGAAGCTGTAATAGTTCCAGACCTGATTTCAGCTTCCAGAAACAATACGGCTGCTATCAAACCATAGTTTCTAAGCCCCAGATGAACATGACAGAAGGTACATAAATATATCTGCTAGTTCATTCACAGATAAGGGGAAGTTGTAGAATTAACCTTAAGTGTAAAAGATGAAAGAGCAATTTTCTGTTTGACCACATCTCTCACATCACAGGAGAAAAATATTCTTCAGCAAGCTAAACAGGAGTGGTTAATACACTAAATCTTTTCTCTTGTGGCAACTGAACTTTGCAGACATAAGAATAATCTAAAGAAAAGAAGCTAGGAAAAAAAGATAACTAAATTTTGATTACAGTACTCATTAGAAAAAAGACAAAGGGAGACTTAAATTCTAGTCCTTTCTCTTAAAAATTTTTATGTCAAAATTTTATCCAAAAATTATTTCATGGCCGTAGCACTCACACTGTCTATGTATCATATGGTACATCTAACATTCAAGACTATGAAGACCAGCACAGGGGTCTACACTAATCACTACCATGCTTAAGTGCCTTTTTGGATCTCAGCACAAATTAGTAAATTCAGTTTAACTATACAAATCAATTTCCATCTCTTATGGCACTGTATATCTCAGTCTCAAATAGTGATTATTGATCTAGTAAATCTAATCGAGCTCAACCCTTCCACTCATTCATGGAAGTCATCTTCAACTCATTTTAGAGACCTAAATGAAAAAGCATAACAAGATGCTCTCGTGATACACTTGATCATGAAAATTTACCTTTACATTCTGAAATAGTAGAGGCATGCTTTCAATTTACAAATAGATAATCATTTATCACCTTTTCCATGACCCTAATGGTCAGGGTCATTAAGGCCTATCAATATCCTCAGGGCCCTGACACTAATACCTTTCTACAGACTTTGAAAAAATGGCTCAGGAATCCTTTCCTAGTTTGCCTTAGGAAGATTATCGTACATACGCAGAAAACAAGTGAGAAACAGG